GAATTTTGGTACTGTAAGGTTTCACACCTAACTTGTTTCCCCTAGATATTCCTTCAATATTTTGTTGCTGAAGAATAGGTTCATGGACAGGTTCCCTCGAGGTTTGAGGATTAGTTCCTCTTTGTTCAATTCCCCCTATCAGGTTGTCCTGGGTGGAAGGACCTGTTCCATCACATGTTCCTTCCTCTGGCGTAGCTTTAGTCTGGGATGTGGTTTGATTTGAGTTTATTACCAGCCCAATTTTTTCATCATCCTGTTCCTACCTCTTAGAAAGAATATTCGTTTCATCAAGAACCACATGTACACTTTCTTCTACATACATAGTTCTTTTGTTATAAATCTAATAAGCTTTACTATGTAAAGAATATCCCAAGAAACCTCCTCATCACTTCTGGGATCAAACTTACCTAGGGAGTCTTTACCATTATTGTGCATAAAGCACTTGCATCCAAATGCCCTAAGATGGGATATATTTGTCTTTCTCCCTTTAAGTAACTCATAGGGAGTCTTCTCAACAAGAGGTCTAGTCATGCACCTATTTATGACGTAGCGAGTAGTGTTCACAGCTTCTGCCCAGAAGCTATGGGGTAGTTTACTAGCAAGAAGCATAGTCCTAGACATTTATTCCAATGTCCTATTCTTTCTTTCAACTACTCCATTTTGTTGTGGAGTCCTAGGAGCAGAAAAGTTATGATTTATGCTATGCTCATCACAAAATTCAACAAATTTAGCATTCTTAAATTCAGTAACATGATCAGACCTAATTGATGCAAGTTGTTACCTAGTTGTTTTTGAGTTTTTCTAACAAAAGAAGTGAAGATGTCAAATGCTTCATCTTTAGATGTTAAAAATAGTGTCCAAGAAAACCTAGAGTAATCATCAACAAGCACCATAATATATCTCTTACCACCTCTGCTCAATGTTCTCATTGCTCCACAAAGATCCATATGGACTGGTTCCATCGTCCTGGTAGTACTTACCATTTTCTTACTTTTGAAAGAGGATCTTACCTGCTTCCCCCTTGCACAAGCCTCACAAACTTTATCTTCCTTGAACTTACTGCTAGGCAGCCCTATCACCAAGTCCTTGGAGACTAATTTGTTGAGTTGGCTTAGACCGGTATGTACAAGTCTCTTGTGCCAAAGGAGGGGATCATTGTCCAACACACTTAAGAAAGTGAGTTCATTATCTGAAAGTGTGGACAGATCCACCACATATATGTTGTTCACTCTTTTTCCCTGCAAACTAGCTTGTTAGTGGTAAGATTAATCACAAAGCATATTGTAGAGGTGAAGGCTACCATGTTACCTCTATCACACAATTGTGATACACTTATTAGACTGTACTTCAGTCCACCTATCAAGTAGACATTCTCAATAGAGTGAGAATCAGTCTTACCTACCTTTTCAACCCCAATTATCTCACCTTTCTTTCCGTTTCCAAAGGAGACATTACCTCCTTTAAGGCCCTCAAGTGAAAGGAACTGGTTCTTGCTTCCTGTCATATGCTTAAACAACCACTATCCATGTACCATATTTGGTTGCTTCCCTTCACTTGGACCTGCAAAAAGAAATCATGGGTTAGTCTTAGGAACCCAAACTAGTTTGGGTCCCTTTTTATAAGCAAAAGGATATATCAAATTCCTTTTGCCCAACTTGGCAGCCTATTTTTCCCTAGAACAAATTTTTTGTTCTCTTGACTTGCCTTCTCTTTTATAGTGCATTCACTCTTATAGTGACCAGGTGTTACCACAATGTGTGCAAATCTTGTTCTCAGGGAGTGTGAGCTACATGCTTTTGGGATCCCACTTAGGTGCTGAGTTCCCAAAGCCAGGTTCTCTTCTGTTACTACTATGATGTTCTTGTAGCCATGAAAGTGCATCAGAGGACTTGTCCTATTTACAAGTTCTGTCTAGCTCATGCTTGACCTTGTTCAGATCCTCCTTTAGGACTCTTACCGGTTCATCCCTCTTATACAACTCACCTTTCATTTTTCCTACATTTCTTCCAAAGTGAGTTGTGTGTGATTATCTATCTTTTTGCCTGTTCCTAGTTTCAATTTTTAGATTTTTAGATCTAAGTTCTAGGACAGTTGTATCAAGTGCATGAACCTGGTTCTTCAACACAGTATTTTCACTTTCAGTTTCACAAGCCTTAAGTTCCAAGTTTTTTCATTTAGGTTTCAAAATCACACATTCTTTTGACAGTTGTTCCTTTTTATTATTCACATTCTCAAATTCATCAATTAGCTCTAGTAATAACTCAGATAATCTTTCTTTAGACAAAAAATTTAATCTTGTCTTTGAGATGAAGGACACTTACCTTAATTTCTTCATCAGATTCTCCAATGGCCATAAGTGCTCGTTCATCATCATCATCATCATCATAATCTGAGCTTTCTCCCCAAGCAGCGACCATAGCCTTGGTTGATCCTTTGTTGTTGCTTTTCTTGGGTTGAACCTGTTCCTTCTTCCTGTTCCTTCGTTTAGCTCTTTCCTTCTTCTATTCAATTTCCCACAAAGGACAGTTTTTGATCTTGTGATAAGTCTTTCCACACTTGTCAGCCATCATTGGTTTCCTTCTATGGAGCTCTTGCCTTGCTGTAGTTTCTACTTCTTGAAAAATCCTTTCCTCTCCTTAGGTACTTCTTGAAGTCTTTAGTGATCATTATCATTTCATCATCTTCCAAATTAGAACCTTCAGTAATTCTGAGTGCCAAGCTCCTTTCCTTCTTAGGTACATCCATTTTCATGGTTTTTCTCCTAAGTTCATAGGCAGTGAGATTTCCAATCAATCCATCTAGTGGGAGAGTAGCAATATTCTTTGATTCTTGGATGGCAGTGATCTTGCTTTCCTAAGTGATTGGCAAGACCCTAGTGAGTATCTTCTAAACTCTTTCTTCTTCAGGGATAATCCTTCTATGAGATTTCAGTTTATTGGTCAATGTAGTGAACCTTGTGTACATCTCCTAAATGGATTCTCCATCCTTCATAGCAAACTTCTCATACTGAGAGTATAGCAGAGTTCCTCTAGATCTCTTCACCTGAGTTATTCCTTCTTGGGCCACTTGCGGTGTATCCCAAATTTGCTTAGCAGTGGTACAACCTTGGATTCTGCTGTACTCATCTGGTCAAGTCCACAAACAAGCCATTTCTTGGCTTTGGCATTCTTTTCCACTTCTTCAGATCCTCAGCATTGCAATCAACTCTTGTCTTTGGCATATCTACTCCTTCAACATTTTTCTTCAAAGCAGCCAGTGGACCATCAGTAATAATGTCCCATAACTCATAGTCCTCTCCCTGTATATGATCTCTCATTCTGCTCTTCCACCAAGAGTAGTACTGGCCATTAAAGAGTGGTGGCCTATCAGTGGATTGCCCTTCTCAATTTTCAGGTGGTGCACTCATCTTGATATTCTCCTAAGGTGTTAGCCTCTTCAAAGATAACCCGCTCTGATACCAATTGATTTTTATACTTCGATACCACACAAGGGGGGGGGGGGTTGATTTGTGTGGTGTCCAATTTTTCGCGTGCACAAATAATAGAAGGACCTGGTTCTTCTATATTTTCCTTATACTATTGTTGCAGAATTATAAATGCAGAAAGTAAAGAGCACAAGTATTTTTACGTGGAAAACACCTGGCTCAAAAGGTGAAAAAACCACGACCTATTATCCAGTAGGAATTTTCCCAACACTTTACTAAATCACTGAGCCAAAAACAGCGTTTACAAAACTCTTGTAAACCTAAGGATTACCTCTAACCCTTTGTGGTAACCAACCTCAGACTGTTGCAACAATTTCAAGTTAACTCTAACTTGAACAATACACTCAGAGTACCTAGTACAAATGCTTCTAGAGAAAGCTGAAAAGTACAACTCAAAAGCGCTTACTACAATGAAACTAGAATAAAAGACAGACACTTGGAACTGGTTCTTCTATCTGGTTCATGTAGCTTCAGGTTCGCACACTTGAATCACACATGAATTGCTTGCAAAATGCCTTGCTATTTTCCTCTCAACTCTCGTTTAACCTCAGCGTTTGTGCGTACCAATAAAATGAGAACATCTTGAAATATATAGAGTTAGTAGAATAGGATTAACTAGAGTTCTAATGCTATGCTCTTCCATGGTGGAAGAGTTCTAGTTATCTTCAACTTTTAACTCATCCCTTATCTAGGAAAGAGTTCTCTTCGAGTAAGGAGTCCTTCTCCTTATCAATTATGCAACATTTTCGTTAAGGAGATATCAGATATAACCACTTAAGCTTACCTCCTTCACGTGCATGCCTTGTGCTTGAATCTGCCCGTGTCTGTGTACACTGTATATGGACCTGGTTCATGCTTGAGTTCATTTGTCAATCATCAAAATAAACTTACTTAGACCAACAATAACTGATTGTGTAATTTTCTTAACACTGTTAGTGTGTAAAACTAGCGAAGACAGCAGGAAGACTAGAATTTGAATTACATGTTTCAATATTGAAGACTCTTAATATTAAACTCGTTATATTATAAAGTTATAGATTCATATCTACTACACTTGTTATAATTTTAGAAGACTTTTACATATAAATTTATTCTTCACGTCGAAAGTAATGGATTCAGATAAACCTGAAACTATTAAGATCCTCTCACAGGGGAAGATTCTAGTGTATAACTTATATATGGGTTCATCCAAACCTAGTAGCTTCGGCTCGGAATATATATATATATATATATAAATTAACAAAATAAATACAAATAATAAATTTCGAATCTAGTGAATAAAATGAAATATGATAAAATCCTGTACTCAAACTCATAATCTTCAAATTTTGGATTTTTCTATGCGTAGAACTTGTAATAGTACAAATAAACAACCTATATATTTCCACACAAGCATTTCATCTTTCTATAATGAACCCTAGCCCAAGCCAAGAACTGAAGTTAAAAGCTAGCTCCTCATTCCTCAGTCCCCTATAGTCTTATCTCTCAAGAATTTCAGTTCCCTGCCAAACCCAAGATGGTCAGTAGTTTTCTTTCTAAAGAAAACTCCAACGTGTTAGCTATCCCTTCTTTTAGGGTTTACTATGGTGATGTTCCAAGTTCTGTACCTTTCATTTGGGAATCTCAACCTGGCACTCCTAAACATACACTTTCTCAAACTTCTTATAATTTGCCTCCTTTAACTCCTCCTCCTTCTTACTATTCCAATAACAATACAAACAAAAAACCAACTAGAAAAAATTCAAGATCCAAGCTTTTTCATGCATTAATCAAGAAACTAATCAATCCAAAGAAATCCCATTTTCCTTCATCACCTTCTTCTTCTTCGTTGTCATCGTCGACGTCATCATCTTGGTCGTTTTCTTCACATTCTTCATATTCTGCTCCTACAACGCCTTCTAATAACTTATATCGACGGCCGAGGTTTTGTAGTAGAGGTTCATCTTTTGATGAAGAAGTTTCCGTCAAGTTATCGATGGCTCAGCAGAAGAAAACCCTGTTCTCCATCCTCTCCAAAAGCTGTAGATCTTAGCTAATTAAGGTTCTGTGTTGCTGCTTAAATTGCATGTTTACTATTTTCATTTTCTTCGCCCTTTTTTTGTTCTTTTTTTTTTGGGGGGGGGGG